AATAATAATAATAATAATAATAATAATAATAATAATAATAATAATAATAATAATAATAAATGAAGGGCCGCTTTCCAAATGTAGAATGTAAAGTTTTATTAGTAAAGCCGAACAGTGATCAAAAACACTGATCCATTACAGAGCCTATAGGCTACCTTAGGGCTGATCCGGTTTGGAGTCACTGATAGAGTCACTCAGGTGATCTTCAGTGGAAAATATTTTGAGGTTCAGTTGCTTTAAAATGTTTCAGATTATTCAGTGACTGAATCTGTGAACAATCTGTGAAGATTAGTCTCACCTTCACTCAAATATTCCCATCATATCCAAGATCCAGCTGTGACAGACATTTTTCCATCACCATCAGTATGTGGTGCGTCTAAAGTTTTACACAGACGAGTTTGACTGAAACAGTCATTGCTACAGTAAATGTTTCAGAAGAGCTGACTGACAGTCTGACAGCTACTCTCCACAGAGCCACAGAGATGGAGATCTTATACTGGGTTGATTAGAAATATGCAACGTCATGGCTGTATATACCTGTATATCGAGAAGTAAATGCCTGTTTAATGTTAAGTACAAAAATAGAACAAATTAGCGTCTAACTGGGATTTCAGTGCTTGTAAAAACGTCAACTTCTGCAGATTAGTTCACTCCCCTACACAATGACTGCGATTTTATAAATGAGGAAATGATTCGAGGTGTCAGCCAGGTGATTCAGGTGCAGCAAGAGGGGAGGAGTCAGAGAGAAACTCAGTTCGCTAATTAAAACCTGCCAGCGAGCAGGTTATCTGACCCCAGTTACTGACTCAGAGTTGAAGTTGACTGTTTTTCTGGAACAAGAAGATCCGGAGTTTCCTCAGCTCAGGGTTAACAAACTCAGAGTTGTTCCTGGAGTAGAGCCCTGTTGCTGAGTCTGTGGACCTTTCATACAGGAATGAGGAGAACGCGGCTGTGTGCCAATCACCTGTCATGATGCGGTGCCTTCAAAGCACAGCCACTTAATTGGAATTTTGGACATTTAGTTGCAACTTGCCAGCAGTGTGGTAAGAACAAAAGAAAGAATATATTTAACACACGGAGGAAATCACTTGAAAACTTTAAAACAATAATAATAATATTAGTATTTTAGTTATTTTATCTTAATTTCTAAATCTGGCTATAGGCGTGTGACACGTCCAGTCATTGAAGGCGCATATTTCTAGGGACCCGTGAAGGCATCGGCAGTGTGAGCTCTCTTGGGTTCATACCGGCTGGGCCAAACAATCAGACATGGATATGAGTGACAAAAAGGGTCCTATTACACTGAAAATAATCCTCATAGGAAACTCTGGGTGAGTTAAAGGGGCATTTAAAGGTTCTTATTAATTCCGCAGTTCCACCGATACTTGTTTCACTTTCATTTACTCCGGCTCTCTTTCTGTTCATAGTTTAAGACATAATTCCAAATTCTCAAAAGTGTGAAAGTGTGGGCTTGTATTTAACGGCGCAGTGCGATGCAAGAAGAATAATGCGCCTGTCTCCGGTAAAAGAGCGAGAGGTCTTCATTTTGTCGATTTCCACTAAACATGTGAGTGTTTACTTAGGGTGGGAAAATCCTCCGTCATGAACAGATACGTGAATCACCGCTTCACCAACATGTACCGGGCCACTGTGGGGACCGACTTCCTCTCTAAAACAATCAGCATAGATGGGGACACAGTCACGCTGCAGGTAATTCACCTGTGCATTTGGCAGTGAAACAAGCCCCCACACACCCAGGAACAAGACATTCATGTCATATAGGATGATTAATCCCATGTTTCCCACTGTGTGTATGTCAGATCTGGGACACAGCAGGCACAGAGAGGTTCCAGTCTCTGGGTACACCTCTGTACAGGGGAGCTCACTGCTGCATGCTGGTGTTTGATGTCACATCCAAGGCCAGCTTCTCTGCTCTGGATGGGTGGAGGAAGGAGTTTTTGATCCAAGGGGAACCCAAGGATCCTTCTGATTTCCCTTTTATTGTACTGGGCAACAAAACGGATCTGAGCGACCGAGAGGTTAGTCAAAGTCCTCTTCTTTCAGTCGGTCTCAGTGAGGCATCTCCAGGTTTACCACACACGTGGCTCAGTACAGTTTTATTAAATGCAGATTTGTTGGAACCACGACTGAACTATAACATCATTTTTGTCTTACCTGCTTTCCGGCCTGGTGCTGTAGTGGGAACCTACTAAACCTAAGTGTGATCACTTAGGTTTAGGACCTTTAGTCTATATTGAGCTACCTTGTTATCGGGTTTGTTATCAAATTGCTTCAATTTTGCCATTCTGTGTGTATGCAGTCACTGGGCACTTTTAAATGTACACCTTAGCTTAGTTTTGCCTTTAGAACTGCCTTAATTCTTCATGGTGTAGACTCCCCAGGTGGTGGGAAAAGATTCCTCTGAGATTTTGATCCACAGCCTCACACAGCTTCTCCAGATCCATGATGTGAATCTCCCGTTTGACCACATCCCCGAGGTGCTCTGTAGGATTCCAGTCTGGCGACTGTGGAGACCACTTGAGTAAAGCAAACTCATTGTTAAGCTCAAGAAGCCACTTTGATATTTTTGAGCTCTGTGGCGTTATCCTGCTGGAAGCAGCCATCTGAAGACGGTCATTAAGGTATAGACGTGGTCAGCAACAGTTCTCGGGTAGGCTGCGGTATTTAAACCATTCTCAGTTGGTACTAAGATGCCCAGTGTGCCAAGAAAATGTGCCCTCTCACCATTACACCACCAACACCACGACCACCAGCCTGAACTGTTGGTAGAATGGAGCCATGCTTTCATGTTGTTTACACCAAGAGATTTCTCTTTTCTTTCTGAAATACACTTATAAATTACACTCTTGCAAAGGAAATGCAAGTCACAGTGAGTGTTAGATCAAAAGTGAAGTCTCTATTAACATTTTGTATTCTTCTGTTCTATTTTTGGTGTGAGCGCACAGTAAAGTAAGCTGCGTTCAGGGTAACCAGGTGTCCTACTTTATGTGGAGGCTGCACAGCATTTTTTATCTCTTGTCCCTCAGTCTCACATTTTGATTGGCTCTGGTATTCAAAAGTCAACACTGCAGGAAAGATACGTGAAGAAAGCATGGGTCAAGTGCAGGTTAACCTCACTGTTCTACTGCCTACCCAAGGAGGAAAACTGTAAATCACAATCAGTGCAGATTTTACTGGAATTGGATGGAAACTACTACGAAGAGAAAATGCAATGAATCTACAAGAAAGCCTGAAAACTACTTGAAGTCGGTGGAAGAAAATTGTCAGTTGATATTATTTTGATTATTATTCAGTTTTGCAGAATGAAGAAAGCTGATGCAAAGTGACACACTGCATGTGACTCTCACAAGGAAGTGGCAGCTCAAAATCAGATGTGACTATCTATAGCCACATCCCGACTCAGACCTAAAAATGATTGACGAAGAAGCCAGCAGCTGAAATAACAGTGTACCCATTTAAGTGTTATTGGGATAGAAAGAGAAACTGTCTAAACGATATTTAGCTTTCCTTTGTGCTTATTTTATTTGGTTAGGCAGAGTTGGGACATTTGAATTAAAATAAAATACAAAAACACAAGCTGAAGTCTGACAGAATAACAGTTAACAGTGACTACTACATTACGTATAGTAGTCACTGCACACTTTGTAGAGATGCGAATGGAAATCCCTTTGCAAAAATATTATATGCCTGTCAAAGTGTTGTCTTTGGGATTTTTAGTAGATTCTGGTCAAGAAATGTGAACAAATGTTTTTAATGACAGGCTGCTAGTAACGGAGCACCTAACAATATCATTTGAAATGGGTTTGCTATGTTTTCGGTTATGTGAAGACTTCATGCGTTGAGTTAGGTGGATTTATTTAATGCTTGAATGATTTGTAGATTAGTGTCTATGACTGGATTGAACAGAGGGAAATGCAGTCAGTGTAGAAAGAAAAACTTTGAAAGACCTTCAGAAAGCCTGAAGAACTATTGGTCAAGATCACTGGCTCACTAGGAGCAAATATAAAGAAATCAGGGCTGTGTTTGTCCTTTATATTCTTAATGCTAAGCCTTTAATCTGTATAATCCATGTTTATTAACTCTTACAAATCAGATGTCAACATCTCAGGATGGCTCTCAGCATGACAAAAGTGACCATTATTTAGTTTGACGTGTTCTGGTCACCACAGGCGTTCCAAGCCCGCTGCTCGTGAAACTCAGTTTGCCAAGAGGCCCATCCTTTAGATTTGTGTGTTTTATTCCACACATTACTCTGATCCATCATGTGAGTAACATTTTGTTTCCTCTCAGGTGTCTGACAAGCTGGCCCGGCAGTGGTGCGAGGAAATTAGAGCTGAATACTTTGAAGGAAGTGCCAAAGAAGATCTGGATGTAGAGAAGCCGTTTTTGAGAGCGGCTCAGCGTGGCTTACAGCAGGTGACTCAACTTGTCTTGTGTTTACTCTTAATAAACACACACGCACAAAAGCCCAATTTTTTTTATGTTTAACATGTTTATTTTTTGATGATAAAAGATACATTACTCCCTACAGTACAAAAAACACACATTGGAAAATACAGGACATTTCCAGATAACCTGCAAACAGCCGAGAGAAACTCGCAACACCTGTGAGTGCTGAGAGGCGCACTCGTCCCAGTGTGGAAGGGGAAAGTTCAGAGACCTCGGCACTGCTGATGAGGACCTATCTAACGAGGGTGCAAAAATAGTGACCCAGCAAAGGTACTGTGGAAGGAAAGGACACAATTGTATACCACATGGAGAGAGGAACAAACTCATTAAATGTTTTTTCTTCTTTTTTTCTTTTTTTTCTGAGAACCTTCAGCTTATGGTCTAACTTAAGGCATCACTACTAAAATACACTGCTTTTTTGCATGCATGTCTAGTTTTGTTCAACAGACACACCGACACGCACAAAATTATGAATGCATATGAAGAGAAAGTTTTCATTTCTAGAAAGTAATCGGGAGAAATCACAAACAGAACCCGAGGCACGGGCCAGAGAAAAAGCGGCAAACCCGGGCTCTCATCTTCGTGGCCGTCGTTACCATCACAACTGAATCCACTCTTACAAAAGTAGATATACACTCATGTCCAGTCAGAAACCTCCTCCCTGTACAAGTTTTGTATTGTAATGAACCTAGCAGTGATTCGGACTCCTACAGTGAATCAGCTTGACAGAAGCAAATTAGGGAGACTATATATATTTATATATATATATATATATATATACGTTTCTTTTATAAGCAAAGACACAAAAGGCAATCAAGAGATGACCAACATGTAAAAACAGTTTGTTACAGGTAATTATATAAAAGGCCAAGATGTTTCCTTTTTTTGTTTTGTCTGGTTTTTTTTTTCTTCCATTCTTGCTCTATGAATGAACTAATTTACAAGTGAGTACACTCCAGCTATGTAAGCTTTCTTCCCAAGACATCGCCATTCAAAAGACATATGGGTTTTACATGTCACAGTTAGCTCGCACACCATCTGTAGTCTGGAATACAGAGCCGTGGAAAGGAACAAAAAATTTATTAAATGGATTTACATACATCAAATAGGGGAAGGGAAAATAATTCTACTGATAATTTGCCATTCTAAAACTTAGACGTGAGGACAGCACATTCATAAGCGTAAAAAGCATAGGACAACTGATCGGGATATCATGGAGGGGGAGGGGAAAGGATGGAAAAGATCTGATGTTGGTCTTTTCTAAGCCTCTCCTCCCCCTTGTGTTTCCATGTTTGGCAAATGAAGCAACACAAGTATCGAGTAGTAAACAAAGTAAAAACTCCTCTCCCTGGGTCCACATCAAAAGTTCCCTTCAGTCCTATAACCTCTGCGGTTTCTACTTGGAACAAATACAAAAAGTCTTTCTCACTTTCATTGCCATCTGTTAACAAGAACATACAACCAACTGAAGATTTCTTTTTTTTAAAATAGAGTGGCAACCTCAACATTAGCCACAACATCTTCCCATGAACACAAATTATTGGGATGAACAACAGTTAAAAAAACTGATGTATTTTTTTTTCCTCTTAAAAATGCACACAACATACACATACACACAGAAGGAAAAAAGCTTAAAAAATACAAAAATAAACTACACAAAAGATCTTCTGCGTCATTGCTTGCTAATTTTTTGGGAAGATTTTTTTTTCCATGTGTGCTGCAAGTCTCAGTCCTAGCAAAGTCATTCGTTCTCTACAAATCTCTTCCTTTTGCCATTCTTCCAACATGTTGGCCACCAGTCCTCATCTTGGGGTAAAAAGCGCACAGTGATGACATTACCAGGAGACTGGAGTCCAGTACGATGACTGTACAGACTTGGTTCTCAATGAAGCAAATTAGTTTTGAGCAAAATAATAATAATAATAAAAAAAAAAAAGTCCTCCTTCACAGAGGACAAGTGCTTTATTTGATTCCATACCGATTTTTTTTCCTCTCATCTATACTAATGCTTCCACAGCCTTTTTCAACACTGTACATCATTCCATGTAGTCTTTCTCTACATCCCCCCCAGAATTCCCCAAAAACACAGGAAAAAGAAAAAGGGTAACATTGCGCTCAGGCTGGCTCCCAGTTTGTGAAAGATGTGAATGCTTCTCTATACTGTTCCAACTATTGAAATAAGTCAAAAATAGGTGTTAAAAGGATGGAAGGGGATGTGACTGAAAAAGATAATGTGCTTCTAGGTTTGTGTTGCTCTAAAAATAGTACGACCAACAGAACGAGGAGGAAGGAGGGTTTTATCTACAGAAACATCTCTCAGATCAACTTTCGTCTCGGCTTCATATGGTTGTTCTGCCTCCATTGCCGTCTCAGTCTGAGACATTTGGGGAAGTGGATGGAGGATGAGGTTAGGATGAGGATGAAGAGGAGAAAGGGTGAAGGTCAGTCTTCCTGATAAAAAGACAGCGAGTGGGGTAAAAAAAAAAAAAGACCAAAAGAAAAGACTGGGAGGGATCTCCAGGCCACCTCACTGGTCCGTCCTTGCTTTCTTTGGACCAGTAGACTTACTGCAGGAGAACACACAAAACCAGAATAAGTGCTGGGTGTTTTATTCATCGATGAAATGTTCCTGTGTGCACGATATGAAACATGAATACTGTACTTACGTATCAGGAGAGGCGCCTGGTCTTTTGGGGGCCGGTTTTGCAGAGGAGGCATCTTTGCCAGATTCTACAGGGCATTAAAGCGGAGAGATTCAATCCATCAACAGCAGCCTCAGTAATTAAGTATTTTTAATATTTTAAAGAACTTATTTGTGAACTCACCTTGCAGCCATCGAACTTGTGTGGCAGGACCATAGCCCTTCTCGTTACGGGCGGCAATGCGGAAGATGATCGCTGGCTTGGTGGTGTAGTCGATGTGTGCGTTAGAGAGGCTGGACGACTGAACCAAGCAAGATGGGTTGGGTCCACAATACACACGCATGAAGGCTAGCTGGGCTGGGGTGGAAGCCTTGGCTTCAGCTGTTTGGTTGCTCTGGATGGCCAGGTACACAGAGTACTCAATGATCTTTCCTGACGTCACCGAGGGTGGCTCCCAGGTTAGGTGGGCACCATCTGGGCTCTGGGGGGGATACAGTGAAAAGATGCTACTTGGTGCCAAAACCATGGCTCACGTGATCACGTATGGCACACCTGTGAGTAAAATCTATAATGCAACAGGGTTTGTTTACCTTGCTGATTTTGATGGCACAAGGTGCCCCCGGGAAGCCTGGTAGGCAAGTCTTGAAAGCTGAAATCTCAGAGAAAGCTCCACGACCGCAGGCGTTGATTCCAGCAACACGGAACTTGTAAGCTGTTCCAGGCTGCAGCTCCATTTTCTTCATCTGGCTGTAGTCTGGTATAATGCCAGAGTCATCCTACCAAACACATAAATACAAGTTAGATAAAGATGGACTCTTGTAACGCACATCAATATCATTCTGAACAAGAAAAGGCTCCCTGAGACAACTTACATCTCCTTGAGAATCATCTCCTGGCACATAGTAGTGAGTGACAACCATATTTGTCACTTTAACAATCCCAACATCAAACCACTGGTTCTCCTTTTTCACGACAGGCTTCACTGGAGCTGGCTGAGGGGCTTGCTTCTGCATGGGAACAAAAACGGTCAGCAAATTCCTCCTTTCCTCTCTTCACCTCAACTGACATAATCAGAAGTGCAGCAGCACCAAAATGACTCACCTCTCCCTCAATGCCATTGGCGACCTCTGCTAGAGTGGCTGCTGCTTGAAGTTTAGCTGGACTTGCCACAGATACAGAGGGTGCAAACGTACTTGATGGCGCAAGCGCTGTGCAATGTCAAGAGCAATACAAAAATAATCAGTCTGCTGTAACAAACAGTAACATTCAAAGTAACTATAAAAAAAAACCAAACAAAACACAAACATACTCTCAGCTGTGGTGCGTGGCAGGAGAGAAGCCACAGCACTTGTGACTGCAGCGGCCATTTCGTTGTGCCCATTGCTCTCAACAGACGGATCATTGAGGCTGTCGGCAGGAGCAAGACCCTCGGTGGGCAAGCTTGTGTCCACCGTGGCCTGCTGAGCTGCGGCCTGAGCCTCCTGCAATTGTTGCTGCTGTTGGACCAGTGCTGCAAGATCTTGCTGGGTCAGCATGATGGGGATGTTGGTGGGTTGCTGGTTCTCTCCAGCAGCATCGCCTTCATCTGTAAGTTATACATTTTTTATGAATAGCAAGATCACAGAGAATTCAGGAGTTTCACATCTAGAGGAATAGTTTTACTGACAAGTGTCCTGTTAACTAGAGCCAGCCCTTGAACTTAGGCTATGCTATCGTTCAAAATTCGAAAGTCTGTGAACAAAAAGCTTTGATTCTACTCACTCATTACGGCTTGCTGAGCTGCCTGGAGGACCGCCTGGATAGCGAGGGCCTGGGCTTCCTCTGTGGCTGCTGCTTGTGCAGCCGCCTCTGCTGCTGCAGTGACAGCCAGTTCCTCGTCCGACAGCCCCGTCACCATTAGTGTGGCTCCCTGGCCCTCAGACATCAGCTCTGAAGGAAGGTTCAAGGCTGTCGCTGCTGCTGCTTCTCCCTGGGGAACACATTAAAGCAGTCCCATCAAAAAAAACATGGAAAATGCATGACTGCAAAGAATTTCAAAATCAAAGGCCAAACAGACTTTTTTGCCTTCATACTTTATTCACCTCTGCTTGCGTCTCCATTGCTGCGGTTCCTTCCTCAACAGGTGCAGCTTCTGCTGATGCTGGCTCATCAGTCTGCATGGGTTCCTCTGTGGAGCTAGCTGCAGTGCTTACTCCCTCTGTGATGGATGAGATCGACTAGAGGGAAACAAAGAAATCATACCCCACAATGAGAAAGAAACTCTGGAAATGACATTCTTCTTACATATTCGTACACACATATTGACAAAAGTATTAGGCCACACTTCTTAATCTGCAAAGTCAGGCATTTTCAGTCCTATGGCCACCGGTGTTTAAATTCTGGCACCTACCAATACAGTCTGCCTTTACAAACATTTCTGAATGTTTTGTTCTAAAGAGCTCATAGATAGTCAGCGCAGTAATGTAATAGGACGCCAACACTCTATCAACACTCTGCTGACTCAATACCTACAGGATTATAAACTTGCTCTGGCTTTCTCGTCAGCACAAGTACTGAGCACCAGGA